GCCCGGCTCTCCGTGCATGCATTTCGCCAGCCGGGCAGCGGACAAAGTGGTGGTGAGTAATGCAGATGCTTTAGATCCAAGCCTTTTTATTTTTTCATTCTACCTTTTTTTTTCCTTCTCCCCCAAAATGAAATATTATTCCTAATGATGTAACATGAATGTTACATGTTACAAACCCACCAGGTATGAGAGGGGGGGGGACACCTTCAAAAATCCCCTCTGCTCCTTTAAACCAGGACAAAAGGCAGAAGCCCTCCCAAATCTTAAGCCGCGTTTGCGAATTCTCGGCGGGGCAGAGGCAGATGCCCGGTAGGACGAAAGGGTCAGAGCCAGGGGGATGCTCTGCCCGAAGTTCGGGGCACTGGAGAGTTCCGTTCTGGCCCGTGGAGCCACCGGAGCGCTCCCTTTTGTTGCTTCCATTTATTTACCCCCTTTTCCGCCTGGACAGCTGTTCCCGACAGGAAAACCTGCCGAGACGCCGCGTCCCGGCGCCACGTGGGTTTGTCTCTGGGGAGAAGGTCGAGCTGCGGAGTTTTGTGAGGACAGAGATTTCGGACTTGATCTCAGACGGGGCTTTGGTTGTGCCAGTTAAAAATGTATATATATACATATATATATACACATGTATATATAAAATTAGCCAGCTTAACTCTAGGAGGTAGCAGATCTTGGATTTTGGGGCATGCAGGGTAAGGGATTGTGTTCTGGCAGGTCGTGGTTGGGTCCGATGTCTTAGTTGCCGTGAAAGTTACCTAAAAGATTCAGGTATAACATAGGGTTCCCGATGATTAATTTGAATTACGTTTCTTATATTTCATACCTGTATAGCTCCAAACAATGGTAGGGTGGGAATTCTGTTTGTGGTGGCTCATAGAAATGTAAGGAAATATTTTATAAAGTGTTGTCATACAAGTTTTATAACTCTATACACCCATGCTTTTTTTTTTTTTAACTAATTAATGCTTGGGAAGTGTCTGCCAAATTGTGTCATTTGAGCATTAATTTCCAGAATATTGGTTTAAATCAGGTGATTAATGACAGTGCATTTGAGAGGAAATTATGTCCTCCTGCCAGTGACAGCAGAGCAAACACAGTTTCATTGTCTAGTATGTTCGAGGGAGTAAACCAATTGTCAGGACACAGTATAGTCTCTACATTGATTTTGCCCAGTTGTGCTTCTTTCTTTATTCCCTGTTCTAGCAGGGAATGGTTAAGCCATGTTCTAGGAGGGAATGGGCAGGCCATGTTAGGAATGCTGTCATTTCTGCTGCTGTTCTTCCTAAAGGAGGTTGAATAAAGGCTGTGTGAAAACAGTTTGTGGATCATAGCCATTATTTTCAGAATATAGTGGGGACATTAGCAGCATGATATGGCTTTTAACAGCCCTTTTTCATAATCTGTTGTGGTCATGAAAACTCTAGGTTTGTCATTATAGAGGCAAATTGTCAAGTGAGCTTCCTTCAGAGAATGACACATAACATTTTGTTCTGGGTGACAGTGTATTCCTTGCTTCTTCTGTTTTGAAAGTCTGCTGGAGTGATTATGTTTGAGTCCTGTATAACCTATTGATATGCATAACTGGCATATGAGTCTGAAAAAATGAAACTGGCATATGAATATGAAAAAATATGAATCGGTCTTAAGTCCTGCAAGCACCTCTGCATAAAAAACTGAGGACGTGTGTTTAGAGGCTGACTGCAAACCCCCTTTCCTTTATGACCGAGTCACCTTGCCCCGGAAGAGTCGCTGTCAAAGCTGAAGGGAAATCTATAGCTGCTTCCACGTGTGCAGCCCTTTGTACAGTAGCTTTCCCCCACTCGGCTGTGATAGACCCTGGGACGAGTGTTTTAGCAGCAGACAGGTGCATTAGCAACGCAGGCTTGGTGGTGAGGACAAGGGAGAGGGAAGTTTGTGTGTGGGAGGAAATTCATCCCTGCTGTGGCGGTGCGGTGGGGGAAGGTTCAGCATCGGGGCTGGGGAAACGCCCCTAGGTGCAGGCGGAGTGGGATCAGGTCTCAGCCTCAGCCGAGCCCTTCGGGCCCTTCCCGGAGCTGCTCCGGTTGACTCTGGGCTGCGGTCTCTGCCGGAT